GGTCTTATTTTTTTTATTTTTACTACTAGGAGATTAGTAACATTTTTCAAAATGGCTCGTAGACTGATTATTAATCGTCTTGATAAGGATGAATTGACTTATGAGTTAACTTTTCGGGGCATTAGTTTAGGGAGTTGTGATGAGATGAGGCACAGGCTGTCCTCAGCGATTCAATTGGAACGTGATGGCGATAGTCTACATTATCCAGATTATCCATTTTCTTTTGAGGAGGATGAAACAGCAGTAAAGAAGTCACTACAAGACGTTATGAAATTAGTTGATAATCTGACAGGAAATAGGACGTCCAGTGATGCCACGAAGATTCAAAACAAGTTCACTTTTCTGTTGAATCGTTTGGATAGGATGACAGCCACAAGCGTTGTGGAGAGTACAAGGAAAGCTGATTTAACTGCCATGACTTTATCTGCGATGAATAAGTTTAACACTAAATTAAATGACATTGACATTACAAATCGTCCAGTACCGGTGAGCCTCACTCATTTGCAAGCTAGAACGTTTGATCCACCTGCTAGTTCTTCGATAGTTGAGGATATTTCTTTTACACAGGGTGCTCATAAGATAGTACCACCTCACAAATGGGATTTGAAGAAGTTTTCAGGAGATAGTAAGGGCATGTCTGTTACGGCTTTCTTTGAACGAGTTGAAGAGCTGAGAGTAGCTCGAAATGTTCCAAAAGCTATGTTGTTAGACACAGGGGTAGACCTTTTTGCTGATAAGGCCTATCAGTTTTATAAAGATTGTAGGACTCGATTGTCATCTTGGGATGAACTAGTTGAAGAATTTCGAACGGAGTATCTTACAGCTCATCATTTAGACGCATTGTTTGAGGAGTTACAGAAGCGTACGCAACATCCATCAGAGTCAATAGGGGTTTATTTAGCGGTAATGACTAGTTACTTCAATCGTTTGCGTTGTTCGATGTCGGAAGATGCTAAATTAAAGGTCATTATGCGGAATTTGCACCCATTTTATTTGGATCGGTTACGAGATCCACCTCCATCCACCATTGCGGAGTTACGAGAACAATGCAGAAAAATGGAAGACAGAAGAGACCTTATTAACAACTATGTCGAACCGTCAACTCGAAGGGCTGGAATCATGGAAAGGGATTTGGCTTATGTCGGTGATGAGGAAGATTCTCGAATTTCTGAAGTTGCGTCTACTCAGGCAGTTCCGTCTCCAAATAGTAGGTCTGTTGTTTGTTTCCGTTGTAAACAGCCAGGTCATCGGGCGATAGGTTGTGCTTTACCTAGGCCCATAAAATGTTTTAAATGCCAGCGTGAAGGATTTACAGTTCGAAACTGCCCCAACTGCAATAAGGGAAACGACGGCCGTCGATCTTAATTGGTCGTGGAAGATCGGCGGGAGATATGGACGACTCGACTAGGCACCTACTACCAATCTTAGACTATATTTTAGAACATGTAGAAGGGGATGAACGACCCTTTTTAAAAGTTGATGTGCTGGGGATTCGTTTAATGGGTTTGTTAGATTCGGGTGCTTCTGCCACTATTATAGGGAATAAGGGTTGGTCGTTAATAAGGAAATTGGACATTATTTTGGACACTTCAAGTAAAACCAGTTGTCGGGTGGCAAATGGACAAGTCTGTCAGAGTATTGGTGTCTGTGAGCTACCATTTCTTGTAAGAGGTAGGTTGAAGTTGATTAAGGTACTAGTAGTACCAGATATACCTCATACACTAATTCTGGGCACAAATTTTTGGAGAGCAATGGGAATTGTTCCTGATCTTCGCCACAATGAGTGGTACTTTTCCAAAGAAACGTATCACCTGAATACTGTTGAGCACCTAAGAAGTCAGACTGTGTTAACCGACATGGAGGATATCCGATTAAAGGCAGTGATTGCCAGAAATCGATCTGAAATGGGAGAAGCCTTAGGATGCACTGATATGGCTGAGCATGTCATTGTGACACAATCTTCGCCAATCAAACAGAGATATTACCCAGTGTCGCCCGTAATCCAACAACATATTAATAAGGAACTTGATGAAATGCTCGCTAAAGGCGTAGTTGAAAGGTCTCACAGTGGTTGGTCGTCGCCTCTTTTATTAGTCAAGAAGAAGGATGGGAGTTATCGTTGTTGTGTTGACTATAGGAAGCTTAATGCGGTGACGGAGAGGGATGGATATCCACTGCCATATGTCTCTAACACATTAGATAAATTAAGGGATGCACACTACCTTTCGTCTCTTGACATTAAGTCTGCTTACTGGCAGGTACCTGTAGCAGAAACATCTAGACCTTATACAGCTTTTACTGTACCAGGAAGAGGGTTATTCCAATTTCGGCGAATGCCTTTCGGATTGCATAATGCACCTGCTACTTGGCAGCGTTTGATTGACAATGTTTTGGGTTCAGAACTGGAACCTCATGTCTTTGTATATTTAGATGATGTAGTAATCGTTACGCAGACTTTTGAGAAGCATTTGGCCGTTTTAGAAGAAGTATTTAAGAGGTTGAAGAAGGCCAAGCTTACCGTAAGTTGGGATAAATGTCAATTCTGCAAGCCAGAGATGAAATATTTAGGCTATGTTGTTGATCGCAATGGTCTTCATGTAGATCCCGATAAGGTATCTGCAATGTTGAAGCTTCTAGCACCAACAAATGTCAAGGAAGTCAGAATGATTTTGGGTACTTTCTCTTGGTATCGGAGGTTTATACCCGATTTCTCCACGCTTATTTCGCCTATGTCAGCATTATTGAGGAAAGGACGTAAGTTCGTATGGACAGATGAATGTGATGCTGCTTTTCAGAAAATTAAGGAATACTTGGTGTCCGCACCAGTTTTAAACTGTCCTGATTATGGATTACCTTTCGAAGTTCACACTGATGCATCTGGATATGGATTAGGCGCAGTGTTGGTACAGAAGAAAGATGGCGAAGACAGAGTCCTTAGTTACCTAAGCCGATCTTTATCTAAACAGGAAAGGAATTACACTACCACGGAGCGCGAATGTCTCGCAGTCCTTTGGGCCATCGAGAAACTTCGACCTTATTTGGAGGGCGTACGCTTTACAGTTTATACAGATCATTGGTCTTTAGTATGGTTACATAATCTCAAAGATGTAAATGGACGTTTGGCTCGATGGGCATTAAAATTGCAACAGTACGACTTCGTCGTCGTACATAGAAAAGGAAAAGATCACGTGGTTCCGGACGCGTTGTCGAGAGCAGTTCCTGTATTAGATTCTTGTGAGGTTCGCGAAGTGAATGTAGGTATTCAGGACAGATGGTATAGCAGATTGTTTTCCAAGGTACTGAAACAACCGTTTAAGTTTGGGAATTTTCGCATTCATCAGGGGAAATTATATAAATATACTAATCCGAAATTCAAGGGTCTTGGAGACCCAGGAGATGATTGGAAATTGGTGATTCCTAAGGATGAACGCATCAGGCTTTTGCAGGAAGTTCATTTGGATCCTACATCTGGGCATTTGGGGGTCTATAAGACTTATAAGAGATTAGCAGAACGTTATTTTTGGCCTAAGATGAAATTTGATGTGTCTCGTTTCGTGAGAACTTGTAAAGAATGTGTTACCTATAAACCAGACTTACAAAGGCCTGCTGGACTCATGGTGTCTCAGCCCAAAGTACGTCAACCTTTTGAGATGATTTCTACGGATTTAATGGGACCACTTCCTAGGTCATTGAGAGGAAATCAGTATATTCTAGTTGTCACGGATTACTTCACTAAGTACTCGTTATTATTTCCATTAAGGGATGCCAAAACGGCGAAACTGGTAAAGCTCATTGAAGACGAAGTTTTTCTTGTTTATGGAGTACCAAGGTTGTTACTTTGTGACAACGGTCCCCAATACACCTCTAAAGCGTTTAAGAAGTTGACTGATAGTTACCATGTCACCATACGGTATAATTCAAATTATCATCCACAAGCGAATCCAACAGAACGGGTGAATCGTACTATCAAGTCCATGCTTGCAATATACGCTTCTGACAATCATCGTACTTGGGATGTGAATTTGTGTAAGATAGCTTGCGCTTTACGAACCGCTGTGCATGAGACGACTCAGTACGTACCATATTTCATGAATTTTGGACGTCGCATGAAGCTCTCTGGTAAGGATTATAACGAGGATCTTTCTGAATCAGGAGGTAATGTGGATTACGAGACTCGTCCTGCTGTTTTTAAGGAGTTATTTTTAGAAGTTCAAGAACGAATACGAAGAGCAGCGGCGAAGAACAAGAAACGGTATGATCTGCGAAGAAGACATGAAGAGTTCTTACCGCATCAGTTGGTCTGGCGGAAGAATTATCCTTTGTCAGATAAGGCTCGTTATTTCACTAGTAAATTAGCACCGAGGTATGTAGGACCATTTTACATTAAGAAGAGACTATCGCCATGGACGTATGCGTTGATGGATGAACATGGTAAGGATAAAGGTGTATGGAGTGCCAAGGATTTAAAGTCAGTTAGGGATGGTGTTTCGTATGTTTCGTAAACTGTTAGCTCTGTGAGTTCGGGCTCTAGGAATAGGCTCACGCGGGTATAACCAACGCTGTGGTAGAAGTCCACAAATTGGCCACTTCCTGACTAGGAAATCTTTGCCTATTAGAGGGACTCACCCTCACTGGGGTGCGACAATAGTTGGAATATCCCGGTTCCAAACCAAGGTTCCTTGGACGGGAGGGCATTCATAAGGGGGGTCGTGTTCGGTGGCGGTAGGGCTACGGCCGGCTATAGCTTTGTCGATTGGGGCACACTGGGCACGACTACTATGTCCCTCTCAACTCCATTGCAACTGGAGACGCCAGCACTTTGTCGCAGTGGTATAGGTGAGAAGACTCCCGCACAGGCGTCAGGGTTCTTTTGTACCGACCTTCTGTCGTTTCAGGTCATGGGCCTTCTCTCATGCTAGTGAATTGGTGGTCACTAGATTTTTGTCTAACTAATATCTGTTTTTCTTTTTGTTCCACCAGTGACTGTTCGATTTTCCTAGGTGGTTCGGGGGTGTCTGGGCGAGAGCCGCTGCCTGCTGGGAATCCGGAGTGGGAGGTACAGAGGTTCCTACGGCGCAGCAACTAACATCATGCAGCGAAAACGGAACGCTCTGCCGGGTTCTCTGGGAGTCGGTGGACGGTTCAGGTGGCTCTGGGCTAGGTGGGGGAATCGGTCAGCCATGTGACCTTCCTGGTATGAAAGGGGAAGTTTTATTAGTTTTAAGGTAATTGTAGTTTAAGGGTACTGGGGTTTTTCAATTTGATTTCGCTCTTATAGTTGTAAGTTTTTAGAGGATATCTCTCTGGGATTACTATGTATGTATCAGAGTGTAAACTGGGTTTTTACTTTATTTAGGATATGGAGGAAAATATTTTCAGTCAGCTAGCGCTGATGAAAATTTACTGTGGTAAATTTTCTTGAAGCAGGGGAGGAATGTAACGGTTTTAATCGAACGTTATGCCTTATCGCCTATTTCTGTCTCAAAACTAGCAGAGAATTAACTTATAATCTAGAAATTACCTTGAATATGCTCCTGTCGTAGAACTTCATTAGATTTTCGAGAAAACACAGCTTTATTCAGGTGGGATTTAGCGTAACTGGTGTAAATGTTCCTTCTTAGGGCTCACATAATTTTTACAAGGTTACACTTAATTTTACTATGGTTTTCAGCAGTAGTTTTCACTCTTAAAATATTGTTTACAATAACCTCTGTATTTTGTTGATTTTATTCAAAAGGAATTTAGCGTAACTGGGGTAAATGTTCCTCCTTAGGGCTCACATAATTTTTACAAGGTTACACTGAAATTCACTATGATTCTCAATAAAACTGTTTACTTGTAGAAGTGTTGTTTACAATGTTTTTGTTATTTTGTAGGTTAAAACTGATGTCGGATGTCATTTAATTTCATGAATTATGCCTGTCGCATTTCGAGATGTCTATCGTTGTTCGATAAGTGATTCTTAGGTAATACCTCTCTCTCTCTGCTTGACGGAGGACAAGGGACGTCATATGTCTGATTTCGATTCATACGCCAGTGATTCATGAACTAAGGAGTGCTCGTTTAAGCGGTGGTTGCTTTTCATGGGCATATTTTTGGGTTTTCTTATTGGTCGAGCAGTGTTAACAGAGCTGTCAGCCTGAATGCGAATGGTCGTATTCTAGTAGTTGAAGGAGGTCATTGGTCGCACAGTATAACCAACAATAATTTCTAGAGATCGGACAGTGGCGATTGGTTTAAATGGATTTTCTTTGAAATGATTCTGCGCAGTCGAGGTTTTATGCTAGGGGGCGAAGAACGGCGTAATTTGTAACACGTGGCAGCTTCGTCTTTCTTTTCCAACAAGGAATGTTAATGGAGGTGTTGAACTGAAAATTCGCTAAGAGACTTTTTACTTTTTTATGTGATTTTGTATATCATCCCGCGTGGGGAGTCTAGTAAAAGTGTCTCTATTTTATGGGAAGCATTGATGGTACGTTTTGAAGTTGGTTAACGCGAAGTTAGACCGGTATTTTTTATGTGATTGTGTGCCGGCTTTCCCATCTCATCTTGAGGAGTATTGAATATTGAAGTTCAACCCATCCGTCGTCCTGTAGCAGTTTGATGGTTGGAGACCGATCGTAATTGGGTTATATATTGAAGGGAGAATTGGTCTTTAAGAAGTTCTACGCAGATTTCATTTCCTGTTTGATTCGAAGTTACACCCTCCGGAACAGAGGTTGGTTTTATTCTTTTTGTTTTATTTGATAAATTGTAAATATTGCTACCCATTCATTTTAATAACAGATTCTTTCAGATTTTAAGGGGGTTGAATATGGGGAACAGGTTATACTGTATAGTTTTACTGGTTCATTTTTTTTTATTGGGCACTTTTGATGCTTTGCTTGAATAATTTCAACCCTCTGGGAGGTTCAATTAATTCACATTAATTTTCAAGAGATAAAGGGGCGGGATCAATTTAGGTTATCAGATTGTAATTAGGATTGTACATTTTAGGGTGCTTGGTACCGGTGTTGCTTGGTACCGGTGTTGCTTGGTACCGGTGTTGCCTGCTACTGTTGCTGGGCACAGTGCAGCTGTATGGTAGTGAAGATACTGCCTAATACTAGCGTTTTCCTGACTGGTATTGATTATGTACTTCCTCTTTAACGAAGAACAGCCATTTTGGGGTTCGAACACCTCATCTACTTTTCTAGAACATCAGAGATTTGGTATCATAGGACTACATGCCACAGGCGGCAACGCTAGCCTTGAGTAGCACGGATCAGGAGATAAGTGGAAATTATGCATTTATTTTTCTATCATTTCAGTTATAATTTGGGGTTTATTATTTAGTCTACCACTGATACGTATATGTATACAGTTTTCTTTATGAATTTATTTGATTAAATAACGTTGTGTTCATATGCTATTAAAGGCCCTCATTGCCTATGTTTCATGGTTAGTTCATATATCATAATTCATAGTGTTTTATAATAAGAGTATGTTTCACATTGTTTAGTGAAACAAATACTATTTTAGTTTATAAGTATTTTGGATATGAACTTCTGTAATATACAGAAATTACAGGATTTTTAATATTAAATGAAGTTAACCTTTTCTATGAGTTGCGCTTGATATGTCTTTCGCCTTGGATCCAACGCTAATGACCGTGGGGTATTGAGAAGTAATACTATTGATTTTATTGGGGATTTTAATGGGGTACTGACAAGTAATATTATTGATTTTATTAAGATTCAATGAACTAACCCTGTCTAATTTCTGTACACTGCGCTAAAATATTGTAAATACTGGTATAAATTTGGGGTTATGATTAGCCCTCAGGTATGTAAGTAAAAACCTAGTCTTTCTAGCATATGAATTGTGTTTGAAGTCGCTAATAGCGCACTAATTGTAAAGGGGTCATTAACTAAGGGGAAACTATCTTCCAATTAGGAAATAAACAAGGTTTGAGTTAAGGTTGTCTTTTATTTTCCTATTTATTTGGTAGGTTTAAAAGTAGGACTTTTCTGATTTGTAGTGGCTTGGTATAGTAGATCTACCTGGCGTCCAATTTAACAGAACAGCTAAAATAATTTATTTTTCCCTGATTACGAAGTAATCACCCACTCCCTTCTCCACTTGAGTGAACCGGAGCTACAAGGTTGACATCAGGGACAACTGAACTTAAAGTAACGTTTTGGGGGTTACATTTTTAATATTAAATGAAGTTAACCTTTTCTATGAGTTGCGCTTGATATGTCTTTCGCCTTGGATCCAACGCTAATGACCGTGGGGTATTGAGAAGTAATACTATTGATTTTATTGGGGATTTTAATGGGGTACTGACAAGTAATATTATTGATTTTATTAAGATTCAATGAACTAACCCTGTCTAATTTCTGTACACTGCGCTAAAATATTGTAATATTGTAATATTCACATTGTTTAGTGAAACAAATACTATTTTAGTTTATAAGTATTTTGGATATGAACTTCTGTAATATACAGAAATTACAGGATTTTTAATATTAAATGAAGTTAACCTTTTCTATGAGTTGCGCTTGATATGTCTTTCGCCTTGGATCCAACGCTAATGACCGTGGGGTATTGAGAAGTAATACTATTGATTTTATTGGGGATTTTAATGGGGTACTGACAAGTAATATTATTGATTTTATTAAGATTCAATGAACTAACCCTGTCTAATTTTGTAAATACTGGTATAAATTTGGGGTTATGATTAGCCCTCAGGTATGTAAGTAAAAACCTAGTCTTTCTAGCATATGAATTGTGTTTGAAGTCGCTAATAGCGCACTAATTGTAAAGGGGTCATTAACTAAGGGGAAACTATCTTCCAATTAGGAAATAAACAAGGTTTGAGTTAAGGTTGTCTTTTATTTTCCTATTTATTTGGTAGGTTTAAAAGTAGGACTTTTCTGATTTGTAGTGGCTTGGTATAGTAGATCTACCTGGCGTCCAATTTAACAGAACAGCTAAAATAATTTATTTTTCCCTGATTACGAAGTAATCACCCACTCCCTTCTCCACTTGAGTGAACCGGAGCTACAAGGTTGACATCAGGGACAACTGAACTTAAAGTAACGTTTTGGGGGTTACATTTGGAGGAGAAGCAGGGGAGGAATGTAACGGTTTTAATCGAACGTTATGCCTTATCGCCTATTTCTGTCTCAAAACTAGCAGAGAATTAACTTATAATCTAGAAATTACCTTGAATATGCTCCTGTCGTAAAACTTCATTAGATTTTCGAGAAAACACAGCTTTATTCAGGTGGGATTTAGCGTAACTGGTGTAAATGTTCCTTCTTAGGACTCACATAATTTTTACAAGGTTACACTTAATTTCACTATGGTTTTCAGCAGTAGTTTTCACTCTTAAAATATTGTTTACAATAACCTCTGTATTTTGTTGATTTTATTCAAAAGGAATTTAGCGTGACTGGGGTAAATGTTCCTCCTTAGGGCTCACATAATTTTTACAAGGTTACACTGAAATTCACTATGATTCTCAATAAAACTGTTTACTTGTAGAGGTGTTGTTTACAATGTTTTTGTTATTTTGTAGGTTAAAACTGATGTCGGATGTCATTTAATTTCATGAATTATGCCTGTCGCATTTCGAGATGTCTATCTTTGTTCGATAAGTGATTCTTAGGTAATACCTCTCTCTCTCTGCTTGACGGAGGACAAGGGACGTCATATGTCTGATTTCGATTCATACGCCAGTGATTCATGAACTAAGGAGTGCTCGTTTAAGCGGTGGTTGCTTTTCATGGGCATATTTTTGGGTTTTCTTATTGGTCGAGCAGTGTTAACAGAGCTGTCAGCCTGAATGCGAATGGTCGTATTCTAGTAGTTGAAGGAGGTCATTGGTCGCACAGTATAACCAACAATAATTTCTAGAGATCGGACAGTGGCGATTGGTTTAAATGGATTTTCTTTGAAACGATTCTGCGCAGTCGAGGTTTTATGCTAGGGGGCGAAGAACGGCGTAATTTGTAACACGTGGCAGCTTCGTCTTTCTTTTCCAACAAGGAATGTTAATGGAGGTGTTGAACTGAAAATTCGCTAAGAGACTTTTTACTTTTTTATGTGATTTTGTATATCATCCCGCGTGGGGAGTCTAGTAAAAGTGTCTCTATTTTATGGGAAGCATTGATGGTACGTTTTGAAGTTGGTTAACGCGAAGTTAGACCGGTATTTTTTATGTGATTGTGTGCCGGCT